CCCCAAAACCCCAAAACCCCAAAACCCCAAAACCCCTTCTCGTTATGAAATTATTGAATGAGTGATGCAATGCAATAATACTATATATAAAGTCCGCAAAATAATTAATTTTAAGTGTAAAAATTAAATGAGAGAAATCGTAAATATTCATGTAGGACAGTGTGGTAACCAGATTGGTTATGACTTCTGGGAAGGAGTCTGCCAAGAACACTCTATCCAACCAGACCTCACCTGTGCAGATTATGAGCTCGCTGAGCACCATAATACATACTTTGAGGAAATTGACAATGGCAAGTTTGTCCCAAGAGCTGTCTTGGTAGATCTTGAGCCAGGAGTTCATAATAGGATCGCTAAGCAAACTTATGGATCTATTTTTAACCCTGATATGATCTATAACGATCAACCAGGATCTGGAAATAACTTCGCAATGGGATTCTATTCTACAGGAAGTGAAATCATCGAAGAAGTAATGGAAGGAATCAGAAAACAAGCAGAAAAATGTGACTGTATGGAGGGATTCCAACTAACTCACTCTCTTGGAGGAGGAACTGGATCAGGACTTGGATCCTTGGTCATGCAAAACTTGAAAGGAGAATTCTCAGATAAAATGCTCACGGCCTATTCGGTTGTTCCTTCCATTAAAAATCCAGAGGTAGTAATCCAACCATATAACTCAATGCTTTCGATGAACTACCTCATTGAGGAATGTGATAGCAATGTATTGATCAGTAACGACTCCCTGAATAATATTTCCCAATTCTCATTGAAACAAAAAGATGTTTCAATCAGTTTCATCAACAAAATAGTTAAAAGAGCAATGCTTGAAACAACTTCTTCTCTAAGATTTGGAGGTTTCAACAACGCTGGAATGAGAAAATTAAATACTAATCTGTGCCCATTCCCAAGACTACATTTCCTGACGACCACTTTGGCTCCACTATCAAACATGCAAGATAAGATTTATGATGTAATGGGTGCTAGAGAATTAGTCAGAGAACTCTTCTCATCTAATAATGCCATTTGCGATGTTGAGCTTACCAGAGGTAAGCTCCTCACAGCAGCTGCTATTTTCAGAGGAGATATAGAATCATCTGCTGCTGAATCTTCATTAGCAAAATTAAAGCAAAAGAACAGTGGTGAATTTGTAGAGTGGATTCCAGATAGTCTGTTGAGCTCTATCTGTTCAGTTCCTAACGCAGACTACTCTTGCTCTGCTGTGCTTCTAAGCAATACTACCTCCATCCAGTCACTTTTTAAGACTATTGACGACACCTTCACTCCGTTATTGAAGAGAAAGGCTTACATGCACCACTACATTAGAGAAGGGATGGAATGGTCAGAAATGAGTGAGGCTCAGATGAACATGCTGGACCTTATCAACGAATACCAACAGTACGAAGCTGCTACCTGTGATGAAGAATACGAAGAAGATGATGATGAAGAAATGGAGGAAGAGTTTGGTGGCTTTAAAACCACTCATAGTCACTCTGACTTACACTCTACTCATGCTAGTTCATGCAAAGAGTAAAATTCACCAGGAATATACTATATTTTAACTAATAATTAAGTGAAACCAATCACAGCGTGACATAATGGGGTTTTGGGGTTTTGGGGTTTTGGGGTTTTGGGATTAATTAGTAGTCGGTGGGGTGCAATTGGAGGTGTAGTTGTGGAGTTTGGAAAGTTTTTAGTGGTTATTAAGCAGGTAGGGATTAGTATGACTCTGGAAATTTGAGAGAAATCTCAAGAAATTTCTGAACAGTGCTGAGCCTTGATTTTTGGATATTATGTGGACAAAGATTTTGTGATATTTGTCTCAACCAGCTTATACATGGGAACTTATCTTCCTCATAAGCTTAATAGAATATAATCTTTATATACTCTGGTAGTCAATTGAGGAGAAGAGCTTTAATTATATTCAATATGAAATGCCCTGAAAGGGGTTTTGGGGTTTTGGGGTTTTGGGGTTTTGGGG